CTCCTAGACCCAGTCGGGGCCTGTGTGCCCTTATCACCCCACTCTGGGGCCAAGCCTCCCCCCCAGGACCTGTCACACCCCCACCCTCTGAGGCAGCACTGCGGAGGGAATTCTGCCAGAAATGAGGCTGAGACCAGAGAGGGAGAGGGAATTCCCCAGATCGCACAGGGGGCGGGAAGCGCGGCCCGGCCTCCATGGGGCCCAGAGGGGGCGCCCTGAGAAAAGCCTGGCCAGGAGGGCGGGAGCACAGCCCAGGGTGCACACAGGAAAGACCGGCAGATGGGGTGACTCCCCACCGCCTCCCCCACTCCTTCCCCTTTATTCCAGGAGCCTTTCCCGGGGGGGGGGGGGGGGGAGTGTTAATGGTCAGCAGGAGGGCCTTCCCGTGCCTCCTCTGCGAACAGTCAGGCTGGTCGGAGCTCACGGTGGGGCAGGCCGGGCGGCAGCTTCCAGGCGCCCAGAGTACCAGAGGCCAGGGTGGGAGTGCGAGCTCCTCCCGGGGGAGTGAGGTCCCTCGGGGCTGGGGTCTGCGGGGAGAGGAGCGGGGAGCCTGGGCCTGTCCTCTCAGTCCCAGGGCCCTGAGGGGAGGACGAGGAGGGCCGGGGAGGGCCCTGTCCCAGGTCCCACCACTGCCCAGCCCGAGGGGAGGGCTGGGCTGAGACCGCCTCGGACGGAGGCCCCAGGACCAGGCCGGCCCATGGCGGGGACTGGTAGGCCCTTCATGTGAAGATCTAACACACACACACACACACACCCCGCATCCCAACAAGACCAGGCCTCCTCCTGTGAGGCCCCACCCCACAGGCCCAGTCACCGGCACCAGCTGCGGCCACGGACCCAGAAGGCGGGGCCCCATGAGCAGGACCAGGGCCGGGGACACTAACCATTGCCCCGCCGGGTCCGGCCCGGGCGTCGGGCTCAGCGCTGTGGCTGGAAGGAGCCTCCCGGACTCCTTTGGCCCCCGGAGGTCCTGCGGGGCCGGCAGGTCCGGGGGAGGGGGGGGGCCTGGCTCTGCACCGGCCCCAGCTCCCCTCTCAGCCACAGGCCGCGCCGGCTCCTCAGGTTTCACGGGACACAGGGCGGGAGGGGAAGGCGGAAACCGCACGGGCCCCTCCCTCTGGAGCAGGAGTATCGCTTCTCCAGCCTCCCAGGCTCCGCGAGGAAACCTCCGCCTGACGCCCTGGCCTTTCCGTCCCCTGGGCCCGGGGCGCCCGCCCAGCCTGAGGGCCCGGCCATCACTTAGAGACAGAGGCTCTGCTGCCCACGCCCACGCCCACGCCCACGCCCACGCCCACGCCAGCCTGCGCACGCGGGCGGGGACGGAAGCGGGCAGAGGCGGGCACAGGGCTGTGAGGACCCGGCTTGGGGTGGCCATGGGCCCAGGAAGGCCCCTCAGAGGCAGAGCCAGAGCAGCAAGGTCACACGGGAGGCCTGTGTGCTCTGCCATCGGCCTGGCGACGTCCCCACAGCTGAGAGGGAGGGAGGGGCTGGCTGCCCGCCTCTAGGCGCTGACACCCCAGGCGGACGGGCACAGCCTGAGTGAGCGGCACGGCCCACGGGCGTCCTGGTGGTTGGGGCCATCAGCCTGCACCCGGAGCCCGCCCTGCCCACCAGGGCCCCGCCCTCTCCCACTAATTCCCACCCTCAGCACCTGAAGCAATTCTGTTATGTCAGTCGGGGAAACTGAGGCAAGATCATCCCCACGGAGAGGGTCAGCTCTGAAGACCAAAGCATGAGCCCGCGGGGCCTGCCCAACACCCAGTGTGCCCACACTGCCCCCTCCGGGAGCCGGCGGCCCCACCCGCCTCTGAGGGCCAGGAGCCGGCCGCGCCCACCTGTGCGGGCGGGGGGAGGAGGCACTCGGCACAGACGCGCGCTTCCACGCGTGACTGTCTCTCCTCGGGGACACCAGGGTGACTAAGAACCCAGAGGGAGACGCACCGCAGACAGGGGGGAGCTCATCTTAACGGCTCCCCTCGGGTTAGCCTGGACGGCTGGCCAGAGAGGCACCCCATAAAGGTGGGGCCCAGTGGGGGCAGCAGCCCAGGGCCCCCCCAAAGCCCTCCGCCCTGGGAGCTCCGCACAGCTCCCCGCCTTGCTTCCCCCACCCCCGGAAAAGGAGACGGGGACCCAGATGTATGAGGCCGCCTCCCTCTGACGGGAGAGCCACCGGGAGGTGCAGAGGCCCAGACAGACACACGTCACCCACCATTAACCGCAGCCAGACTGACGCATGCTCAGTCGAGGCACTCGGGAGGAGCGCACCCCCAGCTGTCACTCATCTGCCGGGGCGTCCAGACCCCCAGGCTCCTCTCTGTCCCCCACCCGTGCCCACCCGCACCCAGAGGAAGGCAGGCCCTGGCTGGCACCCCCCTGGGGCAGAGCAGGGCCAAGCAGGCAGCTCAGCAGGGTGCTTCCCCCAGTTCTCAGCGGGTGTGTGTGTGTGTGTGTGTGTGTGTGTGTGTGTGTGGAGCAGGGGCCAGAGACAGAGGTCCGAGGTGGTGGCAGGGGAGGCGGGCAGGGCAGGGGCGGAGAGAGAGGACAGGGACCAGCATGGACCAGCAAAAGGCGCAGGGCGGTGAGGAAGGATGAGAGACGGAGGAGGAGGCGGGAGGGCGAGAGGCCAGGGGCCCGGGGAGGAAGGAGACAGGAGAGGAGGCAACGCGGCCAGCCGCCCGCAGCCAGCGGCGCCGTCACGCCATCGCCACCTGCCACCACACGGGGCCGGGCAGGGCGGGAGCAGGAGGGACCGTGGCCGGTGTGTGCGCAGATCCCGCCCCGGCCACCCCGCTCCCGGCTCATACACGCGTGCAGGGACACACACGCGTGCCCTTGTGCCCAGGTGGCAGCCTCCTTGTGGGAAACCCTGATCCAGGTCCTAGTGGGGTGCCAGAGCCCCCCCAAACCAAAGCCCTGTCCTCTCCCCTCGGCGGCGCCCGGTGGGCACAGAGCCACGCGCCTGCCCGAGCGAGGGCAGCGTGACGGACGGCCCCCGGCCCCGCGCCCGCATCCTTAACGCCCAGCGGCGTGAGGAGCCGGTGAGGACGGGGCCTCTCCATGGGGGGCTGTCCCCCAGGGCCGTGAGGCTCCCCGCTCCCCCCCGAGAGCCACCTGTGTCATCTCACCCGGCCGGCCACGCTGACCCTGGAGAGTCCAGGGTGGCCTGCCCCACACCCCAACCCCAGCAGCCTCGGCCTCCGTCAGTTCAACCAGAGCCCCAACTCCCCCCAGCCCCGGTGGCCACGGGGATGGGGGCGGGGGCGCCTCCCCCCTCCTCCCCTCCTCCCTCCGAGCATCTGTGGGCATCGCCTCGGCAGGACCAGGGCGGCTGAAGGGCGCTGGCTGCCACGGTCAAACTCTGTGTCGTCACGCCGTCCCTCCCCTCCCCCTGGACCCTCAGAGCCGCACGGCCCTCCCTCTGCCCCCACCTCGTCCTCTCATCACGGTTTCCAAGACGTGGTGTCCCAAAGCCCCAGACCAGCCCCCCTCCTCTGGCGGGAAAGGAGCGTCCAGCTGGCGATGACCCCGTGGCCATCACTGCCTCCCAGCTGGGTCCGGGGACAGGTGGCCCCTCCTGCCAGGGTCTCCCACCGTCCTTCCCGGGGAGACCCCACGGCCCGCGGCCCGCTGACCGGCGGCCAGCCGGAGGCAGAGGGAGCGAGGGGGAGAGGGGAGAGGCGTCTGTGTGAACCTTCGCGGAGGATCTGAGGCCACCAGGCTTGGCTTTGCGGGGAAGGAACAACAGAGGAGCCACGCTCTCTCTCTGGCTCCCAACGCTGTGGTTCAGGTCCATCTCCCTCCCAGCAAACGGGAGGCAAAACGCACCCGTGAGCCCTCAACTTCCATGCGATCCCCTCCCCCCTACACACACACACACACACACACAGGCACGCACACGCACACACAAGGAAAACCCAGACAGTTGACAGAGGACACGTCCGTGCGGCACCTGTAATTTGCCAACTGACCGCCCGCCTGAGCCCGGCCAGGCTGAGCGAGGAGAGCGAGGCAGGAGGGGGGGCTGGGGGCAGCGCCTTCCCCTCCTTGCACCCCTCGGCGCACCCCTCGTCCGGGAGACCGGGTCCGAAGCAGGACCTCTCCTCCGGGGGCCGGTCTCACGAGGCACAGCCAGCCTCTCCCCTGCCCGAGGCCGGACCCTTCCCCTGCAGGCCGGGCAGCGGCTCCTTTTCCAGACCCTCCGTGGCTCCTGGCGAAGGAGACCAAGGAGACCGGGACAGGTGGCTCCCCGGGGAGACCGAGAACAGGCAGCAAGGTGGTTGCTGTGACCGGAAGCCAGAGGGGCCAGGGCTGTCAGGCTGTCTGGGCACGGAGGGGGGGGATAACGGGGGGACAGGGGGGCATGGTGCCCACTCCCACAGCCCGGGCACCTCTGGCCACGCTCACCCGGAGGGAGGAAGCGGAGTTTGGGCTCCGGCGGAGGGAGAGGCTGGGGGGCAGGAAAAGGGCAGAGCGGGCAGGCCCAGGAGAGCGGCCGCGGGGGTCCTGTCCGCCATCCATTCCCCTCTGCCCCCTCCCGGGCACCTGCGCCTCCCGGCCGGGCTCACCGGGCACCCTGCCCCCAGGCGCCGCGGGGCGGCCAGGACCGAGGACCCTGAGCCGCGCCAGGCGCCCACATTCTCTGCACCGGCCCCCCTCTCCCAGGAAAAAGCCTGGAGACAGGTGCGGGGTGCCCGCGCCTCCGGCTGCGGGGCGCCAGGCTCCCCCCGGAGGCCGGGTCCGCCGCCCCCGCGCCCAAGCCCAGGCCCCTCTGACCCGGCCCGGGAGCCGCGGGCCAGCTCGGACCCCCGCCCGCCCCCGGGGGAGCTGGCGCCGCTCCTCGGCGGGGGCGGGGGGGGCGGGGGAGCTCCGCGGGGAAGTTTCGCGACGCAGCCGCGGGCGCCGGGACGCGGCCGCCCGCCCTGGGGCTCGGGGCTGGGGTGCCCGGCGGGCGGCGGGCCGGGCCGGGCCGGGCCGGGGCGGGCGGCGGGCGGGGCACTCACGTGTGCAGCTGCGGGAAGCTGTAGGCGGCGGCGCCGGGGGCGGCGGGCGGCAGCAGCAGCGGCGGCAGCAGCAGCAGCAGCAGCAGCAGGCGCGGGGGCCGGCCGGCGGGGCGCGGGGCGCCGGGGCCGGGCCGGCGGGCGCCGCAGGTCCGAGCCGGCACCGCCATGTTTCCATGCAAGGGCGGCGGGCGCCGCGGGCGGGGGCGGGCGCGGGCCTCTCCGCCTCTGCGCGGGGCCTCGGTGCGCGGGCCGCGGCGCCTCTGCGGCCGCCGAGCCGGTGCGCGATGCGTCCGCCGCGGGCTCCCGGCGCTCTGAGCGCTCGCCCGCCCGGGACCGGCGCTCAAATAGCCGCGGCCCGGCCCCGGCGCCGCCTCCGCCGCCGGCCCGCCCCCGCGCGCCCCCGCCCGCGCGCCCCCGCCCGCGCGGCCACGCGCCCGCCGCCCGCGCGCGCCCCGCCGCCGGTCCCCGGCCCCGCGCCGCCCGCCGGCCGCGGCGCCCGCGCAGCCTCGGAGGGCGCGACCTTCAGCGCGGGCGGCGGCGGGCCGGGATGGCAGCCTTCGCGCCGGCGGAGCGCGCAGGGCTTGGTGACCGCGGTGGCGGCAGCCGCCTCCCGGGCCGGAGGGGGACGCCGGGGCAGAGGGAAGGGCCAAGGCTCCTTGCCCCCTGCGCGGACCCGGGCCCACACCCGCCGCTGTGAGGGCTGAGGATGCGGGGCGCAGCCCCTGCAGCCACTCGTGTCCGTCCCCGGGCCCCGCAGCGCTGCGCGGCCGCCCCCGCACAGAGCCCTGCCTCCCCGAGGCTGCTGTCAGTTCTTCCTCTCCGGCCCGGGGCCTCGGAGCCTCAGCTTTCTCCGGGTGGAGGCCTGTGTGCCCCCCCCCCCTTTCCAGGATGAAGTGAGAACGGGAGTGAGCTGCTGGGCAAATCCAAGCACCCAAGGCTGGGGAGAGGGAGCACCCCCCGAGGTCCCCACCACGGTGCCCCTGGTGCAGAGCGGGTGTGAGAATGCTCCTTGCCGGCCGCGCACAGGGCCAGACCTTCTGGACTCTGCTTAACACGAGGAGTGAGGGACGGAGACCACCCCATGCTCCCTGGGTGCAGGGCCATCACCCACTCACGGTGGCCTCCAGAGGATTTGCCGTGGGGGGGACAAGCGTGGTGGCCCCCGGCCTGAGGAGGGCGGGGCCGGGTCTGGGGACAGCCTCCTGGCACTCCCTCCTGCCGGCTGTCCCCTCCTCCTCTCAGGGCCTCAGGGCCCAGACAGGGTAGTCCTCAGCCCCAAGTTTGAGGTCCCCAAAACATTACAGAGGAAGGCGGGGCCCTGGGCCCCCACTCCTGACAGGCCTGGCATCTAGTGAACAGGAGGGGCTGCTGGGTCCCGGGAGGCCGGGCCCGGCTGGCTCCCTGAGCCACTGCCGGACGGTGCCAGGTGCTCCTGCCCACCTCCGGGCAGGGGGACCCCAGGCTGGACAGAATTTGGGGGAAAGAGTTCTGCATAGAAGCCCACAAGCCTTGGCTAAGCAGCCGCCCCCAGCCCCGCCCGCTGGTGCCATCTCGACGGCTCTCCTCCAGGCTGAGGCATCCTCCGGGCTGTTTGGCCCCCGGGAACCAGCTCATGGCCTCACCCTCCTGGCTGCCACCCGGGGTGGGGAGGCCCCTCTCCCCGGCACACTCGGCGGTGGCAGGTGAGAGATGTCAGGGGCAGCCTCCCTGCCGTTTGACCCCGGATGGCCGCGCTGCCCCCGGAGTCCAGGCCGGGCGGGGGCGGCCGTCAGGGGCGGAAGTCGGGCCTGTCGCTCCAGGCCCCGCAGATGTGCACCTAATGGAGCCGCGGGTGCCGAGGGGGCGGCGGGAGGTTCGGGTTGACAGGCCGTTAAAGGAAGACGGATAAGGAGGAGAGGCGATTAGGAGTAAACGGGGAGTAAGTTACGCACTGCCACCCCAAGCTCACAGCACTCCGTCTCCTGGCGGCGGCCCCAGCCCCCGGAGGGGGTCCTCCCCTGGCAGGCACCATGCAGTGTTCCACAGCGGAAGCCTGAGCCGCCCGCCTGGCCAGCGGCGCCTTGCTGGGAGGGGCGGGGCAGCGGGGCAGGAAAGCCTTCTGTGGCTGGGGGCCTGGCCGGTGCCAGTTCTGCATGTGGGCTGGGCAGCCCAGGAGAGACTGGGAGGTCTTTATGGTAAACCTACTATGTGTGGAGCAGTCCCTGGCGTGGTTATGCCCCGTGCAGAGGAGGAAGTCCATGGGGCACCTGGGGCAGCAAGGTCCCCACGTCAGCCTGGCCAGCGTGGCTCAGGGGTGAGCGTCGACCTAGGAACCGGGAGGTCACGGTTTGATTCCCCGTCAGGGCACAGGCCCAGGTGGCGAGCTCGATCCCCAGTAGGGGGCGTGCAGGAGGCAGCCGATCCATGATCCTCTCTCATCGGTATCTCTCTCTCCTCTCCTTCCCTCTCTGACATCAATAAAAATACATTAAAAAGGACATTTCCACTGCAGCCTGCTCACCTCCCTCTGCTGTTACACCGGCCGGTGGGCTGATGGCTCCATCCTCTTAGGGCTTTGCTGCCACATGGACCAGGGTATTATGGACCCACAGACACCACTTGTTGCAGGAAGCTTTCCTGCACAGCCCCTTCAGCTCCAAGCCCTCCCCTTCCTGTGCCCATTCCCCTGCCTCAGCCCCGACCTACCCACATGCCACAGCCTCTGCCTGCACTCTGGACTCTTGACTGAGTCTCCTTGTCCCTGCCCTTCCCTCAGGGCCCCACAGAGTGTTGGCACAAGGACTTTCTCCAGAGCCCGGGGAGGCTGTGCCCAGGAGGAGTGGTCTGGTCTGGACGTGAGAAGCGACAGCTTTGGCACCAGATATCCCCGGTGGCGAAGGCAAGCCCCGTGGCCTCCCTGAGCCTGTTTCCTTGTCCACAATGGGAGGCGGGGACCCACCTGCAGGGGGAGCTGGGGACCAAAGCCTGACCTACCTCAGAGGCAGGCCTGCTGCCTCCAGGAGCCCGTCCTGGTGGTGTCCTCCCCGCCAGGAGCTGCTCTGGACAGCCTGGAGTTCCTCAGAGCGGTCTGGTCCATCCCGCGCCTGCCGACGGGAAATGGGGGCCCAGGGAGGGCGGCGCAGGGATTGAGGGGTGACAATCAAAGATTCTCCCTCATCATTGATGTTTCTGTCTCTCCCTCTCCCTTCCTCTCTGAAATCAATAAAATATAATAATAACAACAACAACAACAACAGCCCTAACCGGTGTGGCTCAGCGGATAGAGCATCGGCCTGCAGACTGAAGGGTCCCAGGTTCGATTCCGGTCAAGGGCATGTGCCTTGGTTGTGGGCACATCCCCAGTAGGGGGCGTGCAGGAGGCAGCCGGTCAATGTTTCTAACTCTCTCCCTCTCCCTTCCTCTCTGTAAAGAATCAATAAAATATATTTTAAAAAACCACAAAGAGGCTCGCTCTGGGCTCTGGGCTCAGGGCTTGGTTCTGTCCTCTGGGCCCCTCCCAGCCACCGGGGCCCTCAGAGTCCTCAGCACCCCTCTTGGGAGGACCCTGAGCGGAACACCTGCAGGGGGTCCCCCGGCACCACCCCCGTCCCAGGCGTGGTGGAGGAGGGGCACACAGGCCCAGGCCCGCAGCCCACGGTGGCCAGAGAGAGCGAGGAGAGAGCAAGAGCATTAGGTGTCTGTTCAGCTTCCAAATAAATAAACGTCACTTTCCGGACGCCGCCCGCCTGGGGTGGAGGCAGAGTGTCAGCGGCTCAAAGTCAGGCGCTGAGGAGCCGCCTACCATCACGCCGACGCCCCATCACACCGACGCCCCATCACACCGACGCCCCATCAGCCAAACGCGGCAAATTGCTTCCTCCTCCGCTGCCCCAGGCCCCCCGGAGAGAGCGGAGAGGAGGTGGGGCCAGGCCTCCCCCACGGGCCTGGGAGGGCTCGGCCGGCTCCCACTCCCCCACCCCCTCCATTTCGTGGATCCAGTTGTCGGCCATTCTGGAAGCAAGCGGTCCCTCTCCTGCAAATGAGGAAACTGAGGCGCAGGGGGCGCCAGAGCAGGCCGGCGACGTGACCTCTGGAGGAGGCAGCGCTGCTCAGGGCGTGGGCGAGGGGGAGCCATTGCGGGCCCACAGCCCCACCAGGCGCCGAGGGGGAGCTGGCAGGAATGGGTGAGGGCGTGCGTGGCCCGGGGCCCGGGACCTGGTCGGGCCCAGGAGCACCTCCTGGAGCAGAGGCTTCGGGGCTCCAGCGCCTGCTCAGAGCGTCCTTGGCTTCTGCTGTCACCCCATCGTGGCTCAGCCTCTGGGGCCGCGGTTAGGGTTGGGCAGGCCCCGGCTCACCATCACTTAATCTAACGGATGGCGCAGCTCCTGTGAGGGGCAGTTAGCACTTCATTTGCGGAGCCTGGAAGACGGATGGGCCCGGGTTCTTCGATTACTGAGAGGCAGATGCCAGGGAGGCAGCGGGAGGAGAGCGGTGGGAGTGGCTGGCCCCGAGAGGCTGCCCGGCCACCGGGTGCTGGTGGCCGCGCTCTGGGCCTCCCCTGGGCTCCGGGCACCGGGCAGGGAGGCGCGGGAGGCTTTCTGCCGAGAACCTGTCCGTTTTCCCGTTGGTGCTGGGGCCGGTCTCTGCCTGCAGCCCTTGCTGCTCTCCGGGGGCCGGCCTGAGGTGAGGAGGGGCAGGGAGCCGGGAGGAAGGAGCAGGGACTCACCCCGGTCGGTCGGTCGGTCGGTCAGTCAGTGGGAGAGGCCTGGGGATAGGGGTCCCTGAGGGGCCCCTCTCAGCCGGATCTGTGGTGGAGTAGCCAGGCCGTTGGCTGAGAGCGGAACCCGAGCGCACTTAGGATTCAGCAGCCACCCCGGCCTTCCGAGGAGGAGGCTTCCGGCCAGTCCCCCCTGGGAGACCCTCAGCGGCACTGGCCCAGGGCGGCGGGCGCCATCAGGGTCTGCCGAGGGCGGTCCCGCTGGGGCTGCTCTGTTGGCCGGGATGCCCTGGAAACACACAAGACAGGCGGGAGCAGGCCGGGCAGGCAGGTCGGGCTCCAGCTGGAAGGCGGGCACCGTGGGGGCTGGGCCGGCGGACACCGCTCCTCTCTCTGCCCGAGGAGCCCCCGCGGAGGCACCGGAGGGAGCGGTGGTCCTGCCAGGAGGCACTGGCTCTGCAGTGTGGCCGGAAGCCGGCAGGGCAGAGGCTGGCGGGGGCCATGGGACGCAGGTGGGCTGGCTGAGGGAGGGCAGCGCTGCCCAGAGGTGTGGGGTGGGCAAAGGGAGGTAGTCCAGGGCACAGTGCCAGAGCCGGCCATGGCTTGCATGGGTTTTGGATCCCGTCAGGGTC